TGTTAGGAACCGTCTGGTTTTCTAGTAAGATGAGTTAATAATTTCAACTCGTTGTTTGCACAAGTCCAACCCAGCGAAAACGATGTTTTCATTTTAACTACCTTTTTATTCTAGAAGGCTTGTGTGCTTCTTGGTTGCGATAAATCTTAAAATTATCAAGGAACGATCAGGTTAAAAGAGGAAGTGTGTCACTCTTGAATCAAACGCATTTGATTGCTAGTTAACTGGTTTCTTTAGCAGAGAAGTGTTCATTTAACACAAAGCTTTCACTGAGAGAGCTACGTTGTAAATGTGGTTTCCAAATTTTTCGGCTGCCCATCAATTAGTAGAAAAAACAAGTTCTTTGCGAGCGGCGTAGAGTTTCAATTGAAAATTCACAGTGGACCCTTGGCTAAAGATGACTTTAAGTAAGGCAAGGTTAATACGTTGTAATTTTGCCTTGAAGATCAAGAAATCTTCTTAGCCATATACGTGGGGGTGAAAAAGGCAGATGGATGACGATTTTTGAGTGGAAATCTCGATCAGTCCATGGACTTCCTATTTTTTTCATAGGACAGTAATGATTACAGTAGTATAAACACTTTTAGGGAAAGAGGTGTAGGATGAGATCCACTTATTTTTTTCATTCCAAAGGTTTTATTTTCGCCGTTGACAGAATTCAAATGTTTTTAAAACATGACGAGACTTGCGTTGCGCAAAAGTCTACTTGAATTGTCCTTTTGCAGAATGGACCGATGTCAGACATGGAGCGGCTGGAACTTTTTGAAAAACTAGAGAAAGCGGAGGGACGGATTGTTGCTCTTGAAAAACAGGTGAAGCACTCAGCTGCATTGCTTCACTTTTTGGAAATGTGGAGGTTTGCTTTATCTGACATGTCATAAGGTGGTCAAAGTTTCATTACTGAATTGCCCATTTTATCCTCTGCTATCCTCTGCTAAGTCCAATCAGTCATTCGGGTGGGAAGACAAGAAAGCTGTCTGATAGACAAATGAATAAAGTGGGTAAGTTTCTAAAGAAACTGTGGTGCTGCGTCGGTGGGAGAGTATAGCATATATAGGTAATTTAGTGTTAACAACTGAGTTGAAAACGTAAACATATCAAACTCTTTC